AGCCTAATTTCTACAATCTCCAATATTTATGTAATTCTCTTCTCGAATGTTTCAAATATGTACGCGTATCGGAGTTGTGCCTTGGCTGGCGTCATAATATGTTTAGGATATCATGACAGTGCACAATTATATAATACATTTCGAAGACGACAGATGCAGATACTAACTGGCCGCGAAAAAAGGGTTTAGGCAAACAGCGCTCTAGGTCAATTTCCGATGATATTGCAATCACGGCGGAGCAGAAAGGAGATCATCCCTTGTTTGAATCCGGTCTAGAGAGTCAATTATTTTGTTGTTGATAAGTTGAGTAGGTCCAAATGGCCAGCTGTGTAGCAAAGAGTGTGAGTGAGAATGAATATGGGCGTGAGATGCATGGCCCCGGTGTCCAAAGGGTTGTCTTTGCGCCTTCCAGGTTGCCAGTTCATCGGAAAATCGGCTAGTTCTGGATTATTTGACTGGAATCCGGATTTTGAGCCTTTAAGAGGAAGTTGTTTAGTGGATTTCTAGCGGATTTTGTTAATTAATCTAGCGTTACGGAGGAAACCGTGACGCCACATAACATCCCGGGGATTAGACAGGTTTTGCTTAACGAAAGAGTGTTCTTATTATAATTATGGCTGCCCTCAGTATTGGTCTTTATTTTCTACAGTTGTTACCATTTTTCTTTTTGCAAATGAACCAAGAGTAAATGTATCTTCGAAATTAATAAGCATCCCACCATTTAGTCGATTCACTGAAGCCCCGTATATGTATACTTATGTCTATCAATCTATCTGTCTCTCTATATATTTTTTTTCTGTCAACTACATGCTATATTTTGCGCGAGAAATGTGTATATTAATCAGTGATCCTAAACAAAATGTTAACAACTTCAGTTCCTCAGCACACACGCACATTTATAGTGAAACAATGTATTGATCTGACGAAAAGTCAAGTAATTTTATTAATTGAAAATATAAAGATACGCCGTGGATATTCGTCCGGCACCGGATCTTATCACATTTTTTTAGGTTAGGTGGTTAGGTTAGATTATTTGGTTAGGTTAGGTGGTTAAGTTAGGTTAGGTGGTTGGGTTAGGTTAGGTTAGGTTGTTAGTTTAGGTCAGGTCTTATTTCTGCTGGATAATCTTGTTTGAATGTGCTTAAAAAATGATAAATATCAGCATAGCAGATCAGCATACTGTAGTTACAAGACTGTTAAGTTTAGTCTTTGTGTAAATATCCTACACAAAAATCCAGATCCACAACCATAAAAAAATGGCAACAACGGTTGTTTTGATGATTGCGCAAGCGCGAGTGTGTTCGTGTGAAATAGTTAATGCGATGCGTGCCGGACGGATACCCAAAATGTGATGAGAACCGGTGCCGGACGAATATCCACGGCGTATAAGATAACCTTTAAAAACTTGATTTTGTGACAAAACACAAGTATGCCATTTTTATCTACACCTACGCATATACTGTACACGGATGTGTATTGACAAACAGAAGGAAATAAAACTGAAAACTGACAAAAGTAGAGAGAGAGACGACCAAGGCCATTTCATGAGAATGAACAAGAATTTATGCACGATATCATACAGCACATATATTGGGCGTAAGTTCTTATACTTGATATTCACCCTCTCTGGAACCACCCAGCTAGTTGTTGCTGTTGAGACAAGCAAACATGTATTTTCTCCCTCGGCTGATCGAATGAGTGGATGACTCCTCAGAGAATGATAATAGATGAACCGAAACGAATTATACATGTTATTTTAGTCCTCGTATTTCCATAGACGCTGCACACGCACACGCGCAATTTAGATGGCAAGAATGGACGGTTTCAAAATGAATTAACTGAGTTAAAAGTGATACTTTGATACAGCATTTCTGCTGATCAGACATATTCCTGGTGCCTTTCGAGAAAGAAAATATCAAACCCGACGATCGGAAGGTCAAATGTCATGTTACAGAATCATCCAGAATTGTAGTTTCCTTACTTTCAAACTCGTGACTCATGATACCGAAATTTCGCCGCCGGCCATAGCAATGGTGACAGATAGACAGACGTACGTACATATATACATAGATCACCAGATGTATGTGTATATTACATATGCCTACATATATATGTATATATTTACTCTATAGGCCTACATATATATATATATATATATATATATATATATATATATATATATATATATAAGAAAAATATTCTTCATGAATATATATTGAGATGGACGAGTCATTGATAAACGATAATTAATGTAATTTCTGCACTCTGTAATAATACATAACCAAAAGTCTGGGGAAAAGCTATCGGGCGGTTCAGGCCTCCCGAAACCTCCCGAACGATGTGTGGGGAAAATAGTTGGGAAAGGTAGTCGGGAAGAACACCTTATTGACAAACCCGAACGTGTAAGGCGACCATGAACACTGCTGTTAGTCCTACAGCCGTATTTATTTTTTATTGTTTTCGAGACGAAAACCCTGATTAGTTGCGATAACTTCGTTGG